AATCGTGCAGTTTTCCCTTAATATAATTATCTAGTTTCGATAGAACAGAGTATGTAACATTTCTATTATATTTAAGTACCTAACCACACACATTGCAAGTTTCGTTTACCGAAGGAAGAAGAGGACAGTCTTTATCCTATCTTATACTCATTACATATATGTATATGTATTATGTACACATCTTAAATTCCTCTCATATTTGGAAGAATACGGATAAAATTCTACAAAAAGTGACCGAGATTTTATCTCTTTTTATCGAATGTTGAAAATAAGAGCTTTAGTCGTGCCACGAATATTGGTGCTAAAAATATACTGTTGGTTCTTTTTGCAGGATATAATCCATATACGAAATTCAAAAAAGAAACAAAATCATATTTATAATTTTTTTTCACTTAGAAATTGTAAAAAGTCAAATAAAACTATTTTTCCTTTTAAAGTTATCTCACTTCATTATTCTCGCCTAAAAAAATATTGTACGTGATTACTTATCACGGAAAAATTGAACACATTTATCGCATTCATTATATGACTATCGACAACTAGACATAAAAGATGATGAAAAGATTTTTGTATATTCAAAACAATAAAATTGTAAATAAGTGTAAATAATCGTATATAACTGTAAATAAAATTATAAATAATTGTATATAATTTTCTTACGCGATAATAAAAATAAATCAAAAAACTGAGTTTCTAAATCTTTTCAAATGCATGCAGTATAAAAATTGATTAAAATATAAAATCATCAAGATAATAGTTGACAATAGTAAACAGTTGCATGTAAAATCTCGCAATTGCATACAAAATATTAATGGAATGAAAAATATATTGTGCTTGAAAGCACTCGATTGATGTTAGAACACGAGTGAAAAATGAAACAACAAAGATCTCTCGCGAGAAAAGATTTGGGCATGATCGACATGTAGAAAGAAATAACCCATTAATATATATATATATATATATATATATATATATATATATATATATATAACACATTTAGAACTCAAAATACTAAATTTCATGAATCCTATATCAAGAATCTCAAGATACAACACTTATTTTGTACAACATCCCAATTATTTAAGAATTCAAACCCCTATAGTCGAGACAAATATGTAATTTGATTATCATCCGCGAACAACTAGATTAATAATTCATCAAAAGTCGATATAAATATATATTATGCCTTTATCGTAATCATCGTTTGTGTACGCTAACTTATAATATACGTCCATGTGTATGGAAGAAAAATATTTTCCTACATCTCCATGTCTATGCAATAACACGAATACCTATAGAAGATATATCTTAAATTCCTCGATCTAGTTTCTCGCGGATGACGTACTGAAATATCTACCCAATTTCTACACGACAAAGACCCTGATTCATCCTTCACCGAGTTTCTCTACCGAGCCCTCGATCCCGCAACGGCTATTTCAACGGTTACTTGACTCCATGCACGTTCACCATGTGGCAGCGCATGGTGTACTTTCGCGTGAAGACGGTCTGACAGATCGGACAGATCGTATCACCCCTGTGTATACTGCGATGGTGGGCTAGAGAATCGCCACGATTGTAGGTTCGCCCGCAGACGTCGCACACCCAGCGACCGCTTTCCACCATGTAGTGCAGCTTAGACCTGCGCCTGACCCCGTCGAGAACGGGGCTCGCGTGCTGTTGTTGCAGTTGCTGTTGTTGTTGTTGTTGTTGCGGTTGCGGTTGATGCTTCCCGTAATTGTGCTCTGATTCTGCGCACACAATCCAAAGTGTTTCCCATACACACACGGTCTCATACTTTTATGTAATAATTTCGTCGTGCGAAGATGTTTTTTTCTTATTTTTTTGTCTTTTTCATGTGCTTCGTCAATTCGCGGTTTCAGTTGTTTTGTTTTTTATTGTTATTTCTTTCGCGCGAAGAGATACGATAGTGAGACAACCCCGATAAACACACACCGGTATCGATACATTTCTTCTTATATTTGGAATTATGTGAGGATTATATATACATATATATGTGTACTAATTCATATGAAATATTAGATATATATCGAAATGTAATAACAATACCATGTCAATCAAATTTTATATCGATAAAAATAACAAGGATACAATTTTTTTTTAATTTTGGAGAAAGAATGGCGATTTAAAATAACATTTAAAGGAATGAAATTATTGAAAAAACAAAAAAAGGAAAAGAACAGATTATATATATATATTCCAGTAATAACATATAGTATATAAAAAAAATAAAAAAAAATAAACTATAATAAATACTTAAAAAAACAAATTAAATTCGAAATGTTTTTAGAGCATTCTTCTACATTAAAAAAATTTTTTAGATACATGAAGATTACACACTAATTAAAAATTCCAAAATTTATTTGAATAAGATATCGCATATAGGTGTGTGTTTATAAGAACATTGAATAAACTTTAGATATTAAATATATGTATGCTCTGCACTAAAACATTTTATTGTTAGTATAAATAGATGAAAATTTGGTCTCAGGCCGTCAGGGACACTTTCGAAAAAATAAGAGGGACGACCCATTACTCATAAAAATTTATATTATAAAAGATTATATATAATGAGATTATATATATATATCAAATAAACTTTGAAAAAAATTGATATACAAAAGACTCATCGGATATAATTATATCTTACAATGGATTAATTAATCACATTTTAATTATCGAATTATAAAATAAATTTATTGAATATCGATCTTTATAAAAAGAAATTATTTCTCAAAAAAGTATTTCAAGAAAAATCTATTGATTATAACTAATAGTTTACAATAACATTGTGATTCGTACAAAATACTCTTGAAATACTTATGAAAAATGATATGACATTATTAAATGAAAATATATGCGAAAGATTTTTATTTCTAATTTTATTTTATATTTAATAATTAGATTATAATGGATCGGCCCTTTATTATACTCGCCAACGCATTCTGTGTCGAGTATGTGTACCGTACATCGATACAATCGGGATATTTTGTGTTAAAATTTCATAACTAATGTAAGTAGGTATATAGTCCCCATAAGCATGTTCAATGAAGCTTCCAGCCAGAAACGAAGAGGAGAATTTTTTTGGGAGTGCCAAAAATGTCAAAAAGCTTGCGGATATCGAGATTCATGCGAAGTTCTATTTTTGTTGTGACCTAATATAAAGGGACATATATTCTTTCGTACGTTATTGTAATTTGAAATTTGAATAGTAAATCGTGTCGTCTTGAGCAATCTGCAGATTTTTATTTTTCATAATTAATCGCTCATTGCATGCTATTCCAATCATCATTAATATTCACAATAGTTTTGCTTATCGCTCTGACACAAGGGACGTAACAATTATCTCTTTGTAATATTTTTATTAGAAACTCACAATATTATTCGATAATATCGAATATCGATTCAAAGTACGGTAACGCGCAAATAAGTCGTATTACAGAATTCTTGAAACACGTAATGCTTACTACATGTATTAATAAAAATCTCGGAACGCGCGATGTACATTATAGATGCACGTGGAATAACATATGATGACACAGTAACACTTTGACAAACATACGTATACAATACATTCATTCCAAGCAATTGTAATGTAAGATTTATTAATAATATCTGTGATATTCGCGCTTTTGCTCGAATCGTGAAAATGTACGTTTTTCGAATATAAAGTTGTAAAATATATAGTTTTTATTCTCTCATTACACATTTAGAACTAAACAGGACAAATATATTACATATTTACGTTAAATGCAATATTCATACAAATTAAATCCCAAGAATAAACAGTCACGTTTAGGGCTAAATGTGCAGCGAGAATACAGATTAATAGGTATACAAAACCAATAAGAAACATTTGATGAAAATTAATAATGATAACAAAATATTCCTATTTTACACGTATTAATTACGTATTTAACAGTCTTGCAGTTTTAAATGTCATAAAGAGTTCTTCATATATATGAAAGCAATCATAGAAATCTAAAATAATAAAATTCATTACATCTCTAGCGTCATATTTCTACTTCATGGCACGTCGTTTAAATTAATACAGATTTTTCCATTCATAAAGAGTGTTCTATAAGTAATACTTCAATTTCATTTATATCATTGAACTTACATAATTTGGCAAGATCTTTCAAGTTCTTATAAGAATAAAATATCAATATATAAACTTTTAATAATTTGGCAAGATCTTTCAAGTTCTTATAAGAATAAATATCAATATATAAACTTTTAATAAATAATAAACAATTGTTAAAATTTTTCGCATTACTTATGCAACACTACAGTTTTCAAATTCGATCAACATCAACTTTATCTTTGTCTTTCTTGTATATAAAAAGAGTCTCAGCCTAAACTAATTTATTAGACTTTTCGATCTAAATTAAATTCTAAAAAAATCTAAATTTGTCCTTCGCCATAAGATCACTGGAACTATTATTTCATGAAACATATCTTAATTTTCGATAAGATAATGTTCGTTGTTATGATAATCATGTTGTTGATCCAAACTAAAATATGCATATATTTGCACAAAATTAATAAAAATACAATAAAAAAATATTTAATACAAAAATTGAAATCTAAAAAAGATTTCATAAAACACATGCGCCAACGAATTATGGGATATTTGCCCTTGTAAAGAGATTATATGGAGAAACTTTAATAATTTTCATCGGGCGTAATCTGATGTATCATCATGAAGCAACGTAGACATAAATGAGGCTTATCAATGCAATCATTACAAAATGTTGTTACAACAGGTTTTTTAAGTAATGGATCGTAACATTTCTCACAGGGTTGCCTTACTACTTTAGCCAGACCTCTTTTTTTTTTAAGCTTATGATGTGATATATTCGATGTTATAGTCCGATTCGAAGATTTATCATGATGCTCATCTTCCAGCGTATCTCCTAGGTATTTAGTAGTCAGTGGACATCTAGTTAGGTAGATTACCAAATCTTTTAATGATTCTACAACAGACACATATATCACACTTTATATGTCAGTGGATGCTCTGTATATTTAACTCGAGGATTAATTTTTGCATGACTTTATTGAAATACTGTCTCTCACTTGGCCTAATATATTAATACTGTTGCGACCCATTAGAATTTTTGGCTAGATAAGTAAATTTATTCAACATTCTTTTTTTTTTTAAGCATAACTTTACTTTCCGTTTTATAATGAATAAGAGTACATCTCTCGCTTGTCCTTTCATTCTCAATTACTGACGTTATATGTTTAATATTACATTTTAATGTCGTGTGCTATCGTCAAGTTTGAGAGGTGTGTTGACAGCAATCACATCAGATTAAGAATTAAGTTCTTAAATTCCATTTGAAACTAATCTAATGTATCCTTGTATATTATATTATTTACGTTATGTTGAAGCTTAATTATATCTTTAACTTTCACTTCTTCAAGTACTCTTAAAATACATCTGCTAATTTCGGCTAAGCACCACAAAAAAATCTGCCATTACATATATTTTCTCGCGGCAATGAGATATTTCATATAAAACTGTCGTGAAGAAACGAAAATCGAAACTGGAAGAGAAGCCCGGGGGGGGGGGGGGAAGGGGAAAAGAGAGTCATCATCACTTTCGAAAGTTCGATTTTGCATCGAACACACTGAACGTGTGTTGACGCTTGTGGATGCGCAGCAAGTGTGCTTTCATGTCATAACTTCGACTGAAGATGCGCTGGCAAATCGGACACCTGGTCTGGCCTGTGTGCAAATCCTTGTGCAGTGTCAACGACATCGGGTGCTTGAAACCCTTCCAACAAATTCTACAGCGAAACAAGAGGCCGGCGTCCGCCGCAGCGCCGGACTGACCGTAATCGTCGTCCGGGACGAGCTCGGCGACGCCGCTGGCAGAAATGGCGTCGGCGTCGTCGTCGTCGCCACCCGCGGCGGCGTCTCCCGCGGCTCGTTCTACAAAGAAAACAACAAACACACAACGTCACCACGCATTGTTAGCCACGAATGCTGGCGCGCACGCGTGAATTCGTCTTTCTGGAAACCAAATCGGGGGCTAATTGATAGCGCGAATGTCCTTCATCGACAACCATCGTGTTCTGTTCGAGAAAGTTAGGCTCTAATATCTATCCCTTGAAAAATTGCCTGGTTGATTGTCGAAGAGAAAAATTTCACCACCATCGCGACTGTCTTAAAGATTTGAAAGCACTTGGCATGGTTTATGTCTGATAGTGAAATATTGACTCTGGATGCTGTCTTTTAAAATTTAAGAGTAATAATTTCGCTTTTATTGTGCAAAAGAATTAATTTGTAGATTTTTCGGTAAAATAAAATCCAAATTTTATCCATGATTAGCATCTATTTTTTTTAAATAATACTTTTTTTATTTTATATGATGAAAATATATATTCCAATGTTATTTTTTATTTTATATGATGAAAATATATATTCCAATATTATATGATGAAAATATATATTCCAATGTTATACTATTGTAAACAAGAATATTTAATTAATGAAAAATTCCTTGCTTATGAATAAAAGTATAATTTCACTTATAAATACAAATATATATATTTGTATTATTTCATTATAATATATACTTGATAGATGTTTGTATAAAAATATTTTGCAATGCATATAAGTAATATAATTTTTGTATAAAAGATACAAGATCAAACGAAATAAAAAGTGCTTTCAAATATCTGCAAGACAGCGATATTATGTCTCATTTCTCCTCGTCAATTCTACACGCCCTTTTCCTACAAAGTGCGTAATAAGCGCAAGCTAGTAGAGCAAGCCTAATCAAGTCAGACAGAGGAAATAGAAGACACACGACACCATTGAAGAAAGATCAGAAGCTCGTTAAACCCCCAGGCGGTCGAAAATATCAGAGAAGGATTCATTCCTCACGATTTTGACTGAAACATTCAATAATATGGATCTAAAGCATAGATTTCTTGAGGCTATAGCTTGTATAATATTTTTATGTTGCTTCGTCGTCTATTTTTTTGTTCGTTTAATTCACAAATTGCTTTAATAATTATCCATCATTTTATTAAAAAAGTTGCCTCGAGAAAATCTCATTTTCTTTGCTTGCATTAATTTTCCAGGATGCGACAAACTCTCTTTGAAATTAAATATTTTCAAAACTTAATCTTTAAAAGAATAAAAATATTCTAAAAATTTTTCTTTAATCTCTTGTATAAAGTTACGAGAAATATTTTATTATTTGTGTGTCAAGAGGAATTATAATAAAATACAATCTCTTAATTGAAATAAATGTCCATTTCAAATATTTTTTATAAATTTTACTACACTGGATTAAAATTTTAAAGAGAGACAGAAAGAAAATAATGACAGAAAACATTCAATTCGTTCGCTCTTTAAACTTTATGTAAATGGAGAAAATAATAAATGTTGTAATAAAAATATCAGTCTATAATAATTTATAATATTGCAAATTATTATATTGTAGAAGAGTATGTGATTATTTATCTTATAAATATGATAATGTAAAATTCCGGATCCTATCCTATTAAGAGATCCGCGGAATTATGCAAAGAATATAAAATGCATCAGATTAATTTAAAAAATATTACATTTGTTACATACTGTACAAGTTTGGAGACTATCCTACAAATGTAACGAATTAAATCATGATAGCTGCCTTAATCTTTCTTATCGGATAGAAAATTATTCTATTCTTTGTACTTAACATTTTCTTAATAAACGGTTACAAATCCTTACGGTAACGTTATTCTGTACGAGATCCTGAATAAATAACGTATATCCGCACGGTACACGTGACCGATAAAATTAACGATTAATCAATATTTGTATTGATAAGGCTAAATATAACAGTCTTACGGAAAGAGTCGAAATTAAATTGATTTTACTTCGCCATAAATTGAGCCACTTATAATTCTTTGCATTTCTCCAAATTCGTAATGTCTCAATATTAAATAATAACATATAACAGTCACAATTATGGTCAAATTATCGCAAAGCAAAGTGTAGAGAGAAACAAAGAGAGATTTATTAATATTCTCTAATATAATAATAAATATAAATGTAAAAAAATTAAAAATTAATGATTTTTTAATAATTCACATTTTATTTCTTATCATTACGGTATTATGATACTAATTTCCAATAACTTATATCATTTGACCGAAATTGCTACCGTTTTAATTTATAAGTAATTACATAATTACTTATCGTTTTTTTTTACATGTTCAATTTTTCGTGTAAATATTAAAATATCACATTGCATTTTATAAAAATTTCGGACATAATAATGTCAAATTAATTTCGACTGCACTCTTAAGCGAGTGAAACAATAATCTCATGTAACTTACAGCGCAGCATCACGTCAAATATCATGGTTTGTTCAAAGTGTTATGCGACTATTATCGCAATAATCGATATGTCCATAGTATAATTTTAGTAATATAACAATATACATATATATATATATATATATATATATATATATATTTTGCACGCATGAAATGTTACGTAATTAACAAAATAATTAATAACTACGTAACGTTTTATCTCATTGTATATATTAGAGAGAGACAACTCTAATGTTATTACATTTATAATCGCGAGTTAATTAATTCAGCAATTAATAAATACCTTACATGGAATATATATTACCTAACATGGGAGAGATGTAAAAATCCAAATTAAAAGAAGAATCTATGTGGATAAAGTATTAATAAACATATCTTAAAAATCCGAAAAGTATATCCTCTATGTACAAAATGTTGATGAAAATGCACATTAATCACGAATTACAAATTTCTACTTAAAAAAAAATTATCATCACGTTCAAGGCTTTGAAAAAAAGACAACATTTTTAACATAATTGACGTAATACAGACTCGCTGCGATGTAACAATTTCACTGGGAACTTCATTGAATTTCTAATTGAAATAAAGTTCAGACAAAATTTTAACAAATGTTCCTTATTAATTCGTCCCATGCTAAATCCGATGGCTCAGTTTCTATATGCGATATTACATATACCGAGAGCCCACCTGCATAAAAGAAGCAACGAGACTCGCGTGCATCGCGTGAACATACAAAGTTAATCAAAGCTCTTTCGTTCCCTCTCTCTTTCTCTCTCTCTCGGTGAAGCTATATCGAGGATGTCTCTTTTCTACCGATTGTCATCGCGCTTGGCCCGATCGCGGGGCGGACGGAACGTTAGTCCTTTTTCGCTGCCGGCGAGGCGCTACGATGGGGTTGGTGCTATGGGGGCGGAATATGCGGGATCGAGCGCATTTTGTGATAATCGACGAAGCATGGCCAACGGCACAAACAGGCATTGCAGGGCCAGCATTTGAAGCGGGTTTGCCTGAGTTTGCCGCGTGACGTTACCATGCCGCGCTGCTTGCAGTGCACGCACACTTTCCCGTGGCCGTTTGCTTTGCTGAGGCTATGCGGTTGACCAGATACGTACGTAAACCCTCCTAGAGAGAAACACAGTGTTGTGGCCAACAACAAACACAATGCACTGTCGGGCTGTGTCGGGTTAGTCAGTTTTGTAAGAGGTAATAGGCGCGGTAGGGGCATGCAGAGGCAACCATTGGTTAAATATAGTTATACAACGACAAAAAAAGACCTGTCTGTGTACATCATCCCCCGGACAACAACAAGAAACCGCAACAGCAGCAGCAGCAACAGCACCAACCCCCAGCACCTACCACAATAATCCCATAATCACAGCATCAGCAGTAGCAGGCGCTAGAAAGCTGTGTCTACAGCGTGTGTCATCGGTGACTTGACATACCATCGGTTTTATTTCTCGTCGCGGTCATTGTTTTTTTTTTTTTTTACATCGCGCGAATTATGACGTATATAATAACATTGCCATGTGCTAGTTTCAATGTGCGGATTTTTGCATCGTTCCGATGATTCCTTTCTTTGTAGGAGTTAACGCGATGTTTTTTTCTTTTCTTTTTACACTCCCCTTATATTGATCTGGTTGACTGTCTTACATATGCTTGGATTGATTATTGAGTTCATTATGAAGCCATGTGGATTATAATGTAATAGCAATTTCGAGTCGGTTCAGGATTTGTTCTTTTGACCAATCTCTCGATCGTTTCATCTAATCTTTTCATCGAGATTATTTCTCTAATATAACAGAAACAATGGTAAGAGTAATTTACATCTCTTTTGTCAATTAGTCTTTGAAAGTTTCATTGTTCGTCGCAGGAGCTTCCGAAGAAGACTACCTTTTTTCTCGATCATTAACGATCATCAATAAAATCTTCTTCGATAGGGGAATTTTTTTCGTGCGGTCGATGATATAAGGACGCTGATTACTTATAATTTATTAAGGTGCTCGCTGACTCACGTGTCCAGCCTCTCGTGTTTTTCGACGGTGAATGTCTTCGTCAACCTCCTGCTGCGCGATTTGCGAAAGATCAATACCTCGACGAATTTGCTTCTATTGTGGATAGAAAAGTCGCGCGTCGATCATCTTTATCATATTCATCGTCGATTTTATTCGTTTTTCGATAGGACAAATTACGAATTGGCTCACTCTTATAAGTGCGAAACGCAAACTCTCTCATACAAGCACTCATCATCCCGTGTGTTTGATTTTTCATCGACTTCTTCAGCAACGATGCGTCGTGAATCTCGTAACGCCACAGAACTATCGACCGCATATCAACGAAACGAATCTCAAACATAATGAGAGATCGGAATAGAGAAACGAATGATAATAAAGACTTGGAAGTAGATAAACCAGCAATAAATATGTCATCCATGATTTAAAAGTAGAAAGAAGATAAACATTAAACAATATTAATGAATATTAAATCGTTCTATCAAATTATTCTTGTCTATATCGATCCTATACAAATTGATGGCATAAGAATAGATAATATTAAACATTTGTCTTTCTAATTCCAAGCCGCATAATATGCTTTTGATTGCTCTAAAATTCGAAATATTTAATAAATGCAATCCGCAGTTCATTCTGTGTTTATAAATTGATTTACAATTGCGATTTAGCGAATTAAAATATTCGCATGTATGTTAATCGAGGCGAAACGCAAATCCGGTCGCACGTTATCAGATGCGATAAACGATAATAACATTAGCACTTGAACAATGAAGGAACAAGCTTTTTGATGTCTTCATGACTCTCTACTAGCTAATTCATGCTTCTGCTTTATAACAATCGTTGAGATTTCTTAGATTACCTACCTGTCAAAATATTCATCTCTCTCTCTCTCTCTCTTTTCTTTTTTATCTTTCCTCTTTTTTCTTTTTCAGCGGCTATACACATATTGGCAATCAAAAAATTTTAAGTCTGGTCAAGAAATATTCCTCCACAATTCTTAGACACGTGAAATTTTCAAGAAAAATGTCATATCGGACGTCGACAGTCTTCCTAAATCCGTTATTAATTTTTATTCACATTTCTTGTTTCCATAAAATTTTTATCGATTGTGTTGTTTACTGCAACCAAATTATTTTAATGGAAGTGTTTATCTATATAATTTATTAATAATAGACAAAAATTTTACTAAATTGAGGAAGCGTAATCTGCAATCTATATTTTTTAATTGACTAATGAAATTTATAAGAAATAAGAAGAAATTTAACATATTGATCTAGATAATATAATATAAATAATCTCAAACTTTTTCTTTTAGCAGATATTTCACAATTTTATAAAATTTATTTTTTATAAGACAAATTCATCTTTTTCTCGAATATATATTATTCGTATTTCTGTATTTTCGTGAATGTATTGTATAAACATGAAAATTATTAATATAAATTTAGATTTATATATATATATATATATATATATATATATATAAATTTAGATTTATATATATATATATATATATATATATATATATATATCTAAAGATAATCTTATAATAAAATGTGTGTTTTAAATTTGATGTATGCGTAATGTTGCATCTGCTGATGTAATCTTATTTTGCGATATTTTGGAACTTGGATTTCTTGTATAATCATACGAAAATATGTCAATATTCATTTTTAAAATAAACAATAATATCAGAAAATAACGGATTTTGGAGGAGTATCGATTCAATCTGATCGCCGTATTTCCCACACGCACCCATATTTGCCATATAGAGTTTGTTGCATACAAGGAGGAAAAGAATTGATTTTAAGTTACCAAATATTAAGAAAAGATTATACGCATGCCACTGTCACCAGAGTACCACCACCATCCGACTATTTCAAAATTATTAGTTTATATTTGAAGAGATTATGCGAAAGTATATCGCGATAAAATAACGATCGCTACATGTTATAAGTTTTACGTAACATTATTCGATTCTTATATTTATAGAGATGCTGAGATCGCAGAAAAACCCCGATTCGAAAGCAAAATTCATAATTATGTTCAAAATCGAATAATTTTAATAACAACATTATTAGTCAACTTATATTATACAATTGTATTAAAATTATTACTTTATTTTAAAATCTTTAAAAAAATATTGTTTCTTATTCGATAAAAGTTTATATATTGCTATTTTTTAAATTAAACATAAATTATTAATTAATTAAACATTAATTTACTAAATAATTAAACATTAATTTAATAAATTTTGTGAATAAATTTTAAAATAGAAATATTATGTTATATTATTATAATAATTAAAATATTATATAAACTTCAAAAATTATCAAATCAGAAAATTTTAATTTAAAGATGTTTATTTATCGGAGGAATAGTATTTAGGATATTTAGAACATAGATTTAGAATATTTATTAAAAAAAATAAATATTGTTAAGCAAATAATTTCTTAAATTATTTGTAAAGTAATGTAATAGAGAGATCTTCCACATATATTGATTTTTTGCAGCACATACTAATTCTATAAATGTGACTCACAGCCTTTCATTTTAATGTTCAAAAATCAATATTCATATTTAAGATTAACATTACATGCAAATAAATTGTGTGCACATGTGTGTGAGTGTGTGTATGTGTAAAGAAATTCGCGTCATACACACAAATTGGATGTTTTTCTGAAGAAATTTCCTCGAACCAGCATCAAAAGGTATTTTTTTCTTTTTTAGTATATACACAGAAATATGCTTACAGTTAGTGCGCATGAGGAATATAGTGGTGGCTTTGATCAAGTTATTAAAAAAAAAGGAATGTTGATGATTGTCGGCACACATACAGCACTTGGCAATGCTTACTAGTAGCTACAATTCAACCTACACCCGAGTGCCTGTACCATACATTTACATCCAAAACACCATGCACTCTGTACACTAAAGATGTAAATCTCCATATGATCTTGGAAAGAAAAATAGTCTTTCCATAATAGGAAATGTATATCATGTAAATTATTAATATAAATATAAATGTTTAGATATTCGCTTATAAAATTGCGAATTCAACTTTACTAAATTCAGTGCAAGTAATAATCGTAATACCAAAAATTAAATAGCATCAACAATGTTTTATAGAGTATAGCAAAATCTAATAAATTTTGATAAATGTATTATATTACACGCGCAATAAAATATGATGCTATTTTCATAAAATTTTGTATACATTTATTCAAATTCATTATTCAAATTCTTTACTTTATTTTCATTATTCAATTTCTATTCTTTATTTTTAAATATTTTCTTATATTAGCGAGAATCAAATCTAAAGATGAAAGAAAATTATGAATAAACCCTCAAATACTTTTATCATTGTAAAGTAATAATAAATATTTCCACTGAAAATTTTAAAATTTCCTTCAGATTTAATTTAATTCATTTTTCTAATTTTCATTGTATGCATATAAGTGATGCAAAGCTGCACTGACTACCAAACCATCGCACAGTTTGATGTGAGACTCAAATCAACTAACTACCCCTCAAACTTAATAGATCGCAATATATCACAATAAGAAGAAAACTCGTCTTTCTTCTTATTATTATTAAGAAATTGTTACAAAACCTTAATCCATGAAACTAAGTAACAGTTATATATACTAATGCTTCATGTATCAAGGTATTTATATTATTTTGGTTTTGTACCCACAATACATGCAATTAATCCATCACCATAGAAGTTAGAATGTAGTTTTGTGTATGAAAAAGTAGTTTTTATATTGCAATTAATGTATAAAATTTATTTATAATTTATAACATCATTTAATATATTAAATTTAAATGTATATAGATGTGCTTTTTAAATAATAAGGAAAAATTGTGTAATTTTTTATATCGTGGACCATGTGTGGATACAAAACTTTGATGTATGTGCATTGCCATTTACTATGTGTACATGTATATTATTTTATATAATTCCAGTAACTACAAGCAGTGAAATATAAATTTAGATCAAGAAATTGTTTCTTTTCTAATTTATAATTTTAATTTAATTTATAATTTTTAATTTAATAATACATTTTAAATTATGGCTTAAATTATATATAAAATTTTTGAAAATTTAATAAGAAAATAATCTATAATAAGCATTAATTTGTCAAATCTATTGTAATTCTATATTGTAATTACACATGTACATATATATATATATATTTCATCATGGCAACACAACAGACTACATCATATTATAAAATGAATAATCTACTCACCTTGTACTGCTTCCTGTGTCACTCTTTCTCCTGAGGTACTTGGTTTAGAAAGTAGGTGTCCTAACAAACAAACAAAAAATACATGTTGAAAATTTATAAAAATGCAATAAGAAATATTGAAATAAGAAATATTGAAAATTCTAAGAAATTATCATGTACAAAGATACTTACCAACATCTGTTTGATGTTTGCCATCCAAACCATCTGATGTCGATTGACTCGAGTAAAACGTTTGACTGATATCGGGCTTCTGTTCGTGATCAGGCGTGTTCGATGATGTGTCGTCTATTGTAATTTTACTGAGTGCATTGTCGCCTATACTCTGATCTTCGTAACTACAGCTGCTACCATCTTGCTCCAGGTATTCAGGCATCTCCAGTTTTAAATTCGGCATAAGGGGGATTATTTCAACGGGATCAGAACCCGGGCCAGTCTGATTTTCCAACGTTTTTCCTTCGGAATCCTTCGCATTCCCTGAATTCTTTTCCATATTCGCATTCGTACTGTCTCGAGTTTTTCTTCTTTTGTTTGGCGGCACTTCGGGTTGCAATTCGATGGCATGATATGGCATCGGAGAGGATGGTGACTTGTTCCTCTTACTATCTCCTGTGGATTTGCCAGAAATATTCTGCAGTTGAACTTCAGGTTCATTAGGAATTTCTATGTCATCCTAAAAATAATATAAAATATATATAACATCTATTAAATATCTATATTTTATCTATAGTCTACTTATGATTTTATATCATTTTATATCTTACCTCTACTAAACTATCGTTATCCTTTCCTGTGCCATCTGTAAGACCTTGTACTGCTAAAAGTTCCGCTGTTGTGAGAAAGCTTGCTAACTGTTCCTGGACAACATTTACTTCGCCTTGATACATAAAATCTACCAAGGCAGCCAAATCATCAAATTTTACATTACGGAATATTATGACAGGATGCTGGCACGGATTCTCCTATAATATAATGAACAATCATTGTAAAAGATATATTTGTATTGAAATGCACAAGTAATAAGCCAAATAAATAACAAGTATCATAAACTTACAAGTTCAATCATTACAAGTACTTTACCTTAAATAAATCTCTAAAGTATGTACTACATGCTGACAAAAGCATTTTATGCGCCCTAATCCTTTTGCCTTCGCAACTCAGAGTGACATCTACAAGGTCCTCATCTGTCCTTAATGTGTCAAAAGCACAAGTAATATGTTTTAAATAATTATTCCATCTAAGAGAGAATTGTTGACTGGAACCCATGCTGCTTTCCTGAAAATAAAATTCTTGTCAATCTCTCGTTAGATTATTCAAATTATGATATGCAAGTTTTTATCGCAGGAAGATTAAAATAAGAATAATCATAGCAATATCTTCCTTTTGTTAGAAATACAAAGCAATTATTACTTTCATTCTACATTGATCATAATAATATTTCACAAGAAATTTAGTATCTGGGGATGTTTGTACTAAGATGCTATTGTTTCAACATAAGAATATGGATATCGCTATGAGGCAAAAAATTCGTTAAGTCAAACAAACATCTCTCTCGACGCAAACGGAGTAATAATACTCCAAAAAGCATTCAAGGAAAATTTCGCATTAAATGAAATCCTACCTTGGCTGTTCTCAGGGTGTAGAATGTAAATCGAGAGAAATCCTGAGGAAGTCTCGTATCGCAACGGGACGAGTGAACGGTATTAGAACGCGGTCGCGAGACCGATTCGCGCGGCGAGCGACTCGGGGTGGAAGAGACGGAGGGGGAGGAGGAGGAGGAGGACGATCAGCCGCACCGTCGACCCCGCGTAGATGCAGACTAGTCACGGCGCACTTAGCATAAAATAAAAACTGTAAACAGCCGAACTGGTTACACTCTCATGGCACTATGGCACACCGTCGAAGCAACACCGTAGGGGACCCCGTCGTTAGCGCGTCGTATACTTCTATTCTCGTTTCCCCGCTCTCCTCTATCCGCACTCGATATTTCTCTCACTCTCTCACTCTCTCTCTCTCTCTCTCTCTCTTTCACTCTCTTTCTATCAAGCGATCACGTTCGATCTCAGCCAGCGAGCCGCGCGTCGTTACGTAATTGCATCGCGCTCTCGCGGCGTCCTGCGCGCCCGGAGAACCGTCCTGCGCCGAATTCGCGTCGCGTTCCTTCACAACAAGCCACACTTCGTAGGCGAATGACAGCTGGCGGCCATTTTCAGTACGGGAATATGCGTATGAGATGCGCGGGGAGGTTCTACCACCCTCTTCCCCTTCCACTACGCTTTTTTGTCCCGCTAGCGGCCGCGAAACTGCGCCTGCGTCGCACGTTCATTGGCTGAGGCGCATTCGGTTCCTTCTAGGGACTCTGACTGTTGACAATTGGTAGATAGTCAGATATTAGGGCGCATTCACACCTTGGCAGAAAAGCGGGAAACAGAAAAGCAGAACTCGCGCTGATAATAAGCAATGTGTACCAGAGAGAAGACTTAGGTATTCATAGTCCGGTCTTACATTTAAGATCATCTTAAGCTCTCATTCCACCAATCAATAGCTGCATTGTAGCTATTTGATTGATTGAATGAGTTCTTAAGATGATTTTAAGGTCGGGTCTACAATAGATAATTTAAGCCCTAAGCCTTAAGAAATTGACCAATCACAGTCGAGTATTCTCTTCATATTTCTTGTCTATTGTAGACCTGGCCTAAATGTAAGACCGGACTATGAATACCGGCCTTAGGCCTGAATTTATAGTCATTTCTCAAATCTTAGATCTCATTTCCAATCTCAAATTTCAGCCACGGACCTATAATTAGAATATTTTATTAGAATATAATATAAAATATTGTAATTATAAAAAATTATATTCGAATATAATATAGGTCCATAGCTGAAACTTGAGATTGGAAACAAGATCTAAGATTTGAAAAATGACTATGAATTCAGGCTTGAAAAATGTTATGGTCTGCTTTTAGGTGATTCCTGAAAGCGATTCTCCTTCTGGATATTGAAAACGTGTACATGAATTAATGCAAAATTAATGTCCATGAATGTTCTCAGAGAGTAATATATAATGTGCACAATTTCTGGTTTTGTTCCGTCCTATGTGCACAAAATGCCGGTAGCACCAGTGTTGTATAGCAAGACACATGTATATAAATTGATAGTAAATAAATTATTCAATCGCGAAGGATACTGTAATCTTCTAATGTAATGTTCAAAGATGAAATAAATATTTTTCTATATTCATTGTCATATTTATATATTTTTATTTACAAAACAGAGAATGCTGTGGAATAAAAACATTTTTAACCGTATTTCTATAAATCATAATTAGAAGTATTTATTATACACTATACAGTATACAGTATACATTACCGCCGGCGTAGGTCTCAGGTTTATGAGAGTACTCAAACCTCCCCACCTGGCAAATGCCTTCGTTAAGGTAGAAAAACATCGAGGAGAAAAAATTTTTTAAATTTCTTTTTTATTTTATTTTTATTTTCTTTTAATATAGAGTTTCCAAACAGAAAATATAATACACATATAAAATATATATTACATAATTATAATATATGTAACATAAATTATAATTAATTTGCAATTACAAAAAAACACATTACAAAATAAATTACAAAATAAATTATTAATTGACATAAAAAATATTAAAATAACATACTAACATAAACATATTAAATTATTAATTAACATAAAAATAATTACATTACATATATATATATATATATATATATATATATATATACATTACAAAATATATGACAAAATATAATACAAATTTAATATAAAATATAATTCGTAATTTAATACAAAATAATTTATTACATGGAATAATTTATTACACGAAAATATTCAAAATATACGTATAATATAAAATTTACTAAAAATTTTTACATAGTTTAGACGAGACTGATCAGCAAAGATTAATTACGTGACATTTATTATTAATAATAGATATGCAATAATAGAATATAATAAATTTTATATAACGTAAATAATCGTGATCGAAAGAATCATTAATAAAATTATTGATCATTTCTTCGATTGTAAAAGAAAGTATTTGCATTACTGACGCATTTTGTATAGATTATTAAAGGAAATATTCAAAATGAAAAGATAGAATAAATTTCGAAATCAACAATTAAATATTTACTAAATAAATCGCGATTTAAAATTTGCGAGAAAACGTGACGAATAAATAAATCGACAATAATCGAAATATTCGATTGCGAGATATGCATAATTTTTATAATATGATAATCGAAATCATCAATAGACACGCGTGCGATATAATTATTATCATCCAAATGACAGACGAAGATATTTTGGCAAACATTTGTGATCCGTATTGTTTATAAACATAAAATGCACTGTCCGATTTATTTGCAATTAATACGCGACATTATACGAATTTCACGATTGAAAATAAAATACATATCCTATTTCGCGTATTATGATTAACTGAATAAGATGAAATGAGCTCTATAGCTTTAAAATATTAAAAATATTTAAAGTTAAAAATCGCGTTGTGATTAAGTTTAATAGAAAATAACGGAACGAGTGCTTTTCAAAGTCCCTCTAATAATCGATGTAATTGTAAAGTTTAATAAGATTTAAATAATGTAAAGAATCACGTTTAAAACAATCATTAATAAAGTTATTGATCGTCTTTTAAATTATAGAAGAAAATATTTGCACTACCAGCATTTTGCACGAACTATTAAAAACAATATTCAAAGACGTGGAAAAAAAAGCTTCAATGTATAAGTCAACGATTAAATTATAAGATAAATATAATTCGCGATTTAAAATTCCCGAGAAAACGCGACGAATAAATATAATAAATCGATAATATTTGGAATATCCGATTGTGATATGTATATCTTTTATAATATAATAATCGAAGCTCCTCAATAGACATAATCGCACGCGATATAATTATCACATAAAGGATGCAAAGATATTTTGACAGACAATTTGATGTCTGTAATATTTACGAATACAGTACTCACTGTCCGAGTCAATTGAGAATCTTTATAAGATAAATCGCGACTCGAATTAACGAGAAAACGCGACGAATAAATAAGTCCATAATATGCGGAATATTTGATCGCGATATGTATAATTTTTATAATATAATAATCGAAGCTTTCAATAGATACGTGCGCGATATAATTATTATCACGTACATATGTAAATATAGAAAATCGAAAATACTTCGATAAACATTTGAGGTCTGTAATGTTTATGAATATGCAATTCACCGACCGATTTACTTGCAAATTTTTATAAGATAAATCGCAATTTAAAATTCGCGAGAATACGAATAAATAAATCAATAATATTCAAATATTAAATTGCAGATACGCGAGTAACAAATCGGTAAATAATCCGATAAAAAGAGGAGCGATCTTAAAAAGGAGAACGATTAACATCTTGTTTCTACATCAGATTTCGCAAAATCAATCTGCAAAAAAAAGTTAAATGATTCATTGAACGTCGGGAACTTCACTGTAGGAGGGAACGAATCCTGGATCTTCCGGACTATTCCCGATAGCAATGATTTCAGTAATAAATCAACGACAATTATCCCTCGTCATTATCTTCAATTCACAAAATTGATATGCACGTCAGAAAACATGTTCTTCCATTAAGAAATATATTTCTTTATTAAAATTAAGTGGAAAATTAAATGGATATAATGATCTTTTTTATTGAAATGTAATTACGAACGATTATATTTATAAATAATAAAATACATGCATTATTGGAGTTTGTGTTAAATGTGCGAACACATATAATTTGGGATACCATTCGCGCGCGCGAGACGAATCGAACTCGATATCAGCAAGATTTAAAAAATGTCAATTCGAACAGTGTGCAAAATAAAATAAATGAAATAATTTTAAATATATAATTAATTCTAGACTAATTTTCTAGATTCATATTTTTATAACATTTAAATTAATAATTTCTTTTCTTTTAATCAAAATCTTATTGGTATAGGGGTACCCATTCGATTCGTCTCGAAATTTTGATGTATTCGCACATTTTATGTAACATTCATGTATAATTTCGCGTATATATAATATATAATATTGATAAAAATTATAAAAATATTTTGAATACGTTAATTTGTGCATGTATTTTCTTATACATATACATAAAATGGTATATATCTAAAAACTAATATTCTAAAATGGCGATGGATGTCCAATACCTGCAAATAGTTTCTTAAAAGAAACTAAAAACTAATATTAATATCCCAAGTACCTAGAAATAATTAATAATTAATAATCAAATATATTCGTTCGTAATCATTTTTATCAAATAGTTAATAAAAACTATTGGAATATGAAATTATTTGAAAAATAGATATTTATACACAACGCTATATCCATGTTTAATCTATTATTAAATCTTTCTGGCATTAGACAATAATAATACCAATCCTAATAATGACAGAACATTTTTAACGAGAAGAAAAAAATAGATGCATTTTCTTTCACATCTAAATATATATTATTTAAATTAATTCGACTCTTTAAAGAAGCGATGGCGTTCGTCGTTGAATGACTATCGAAATCATTGCTGTCGGAAATCGCCAGAAAAACCTGGGATTAGTTCCAATCTTACAATAAAAATTCCCAATTTTCAACGGGGCACCGAACTAGATGTCGCGAATGGATCTTACAAAAACCGATAAGAAATAATTCTCCATGATGAAAATCGTTTCGATTCCTCGGCGGTACGACCCACGCAACTTACATTAATGTATTTATTTAACGGAAGGAACAATGACAACTCTTTTATTAAAATGACAATCTCGTCTAAGAACGCGAAAAGAACGTGAGAAAAACATGGTGATTTCGCAACCATAATTTATTGATTTATTTGTGAATATTTTTCGATACAAAATTCGTAAATACAAATATAACTGAAAAAACAAATTATTAAATTCATAATAATTAACTCACGATTCTATAATATCGAAAATGATCATTAAATTTTGTAAAGTTAATATTTAATCGTTGACTTATCACATCGAATCTTCACTCTCTTATTCGATATTTCTTTATATTTAATTACCAATATTTAGGAATCTGATGAGAGGGACAGTGATAAAATTCTTTTGTTAAAATGATAATCTTGTATAAGGACACGAAGAGAACGCGGAAAAAATGCGGTATTTTCGGAATCATAATTTTATAATTTATTTTAAGAATATTCAGTT